GCGCATAGCTGTAGATCGTACTCTGCTAGAACCTTGAGCAACAGGCATGGATACATGCAAGTGATACGTGGAACAGACAGGCACCTGGATGTGTAACATTCAGTGTTTCATCCCACCCCTCACCCCCCACACCGCTTTCCAAACTTCTGTAACTTCTGATCAAGAAGACTTGGGCAGGGGCAGAACGGCTTATTTAGGCAGGTCAATTGTGGCCGCGCCTAGGTTTAGGGGTTTAGGGTTTAGGGGTTTAGGGTTTGGGGGTTTAGGGTTTAGGGTACTTTCACGGTTTCGGGCTTAAGGCTTCTCGTGCGAGAGCTTTAGGGTTTTCGGGCTTCGGGTCTAAACCCCAAACCCCTAAGCCTGGTGCGTGCGGCTTTAGTCGGGCGTTTAGACAGTTACCTGGCTCGGATATTTTGTTGTATCAGGAAAATGTACGTCACAACCGGCGCCATATCCAAGGTGGGTCCAGACCGCAGTCCTTTCTAACTTGATCGTTTTTGGTATGTCCAAGTACTGCTTGCACTCATGGAGACGTGCGGAGCTTGTCCAGACCTTTGTGTGGAGAGCAGCCCAACTGGAAGAAGCACCAACGGACCCGCCTTCTCCCTTCAAGCATCGGGCGGTAAAGGTTGTGGCGGGCGACCCGAGTTACGAGGTGGAGCTGCTGCGAAGTCGGGGAGATTTGGTGCGTGTGTTGGAACGGAGGCTAACGAGGGCTCAGTTTGCGCGTGTCCCGGCAGGGACAGTGCACCGGACCACGGCGAAGTGGCCGAACTCGGAGAGTGCTGGGCTTAAGCCCCGTGCTGGAAAGGAACCTCATGGTATCTTACAGAAACCGCGCCCGGGTTCGAGGGCCTCACTCTGGCAGAGCGCCCGTCATGATCCTGAACCGATGGGAGCCGCCAGTCGTAAATCCAGTGTCGAGCGTTCGTTGGTGCTCTTTGCCAACGACAACTAGGTAGCAGGCAGCATTCATGGTTCTATTTTGAGTTGGTTGTGTAAATTTGAGTTTGCCTCGCAATCCATGCAACGGGGTATTCCCGAATGGATAGGAGTCGCCCCGCTTGCCGAACATCGTTTCTTAGTGCAGCACAGACCGTTCCTACCGTAGGGAGGCAGTCCGAAAGTCAACAAGATGGCTCACAGCTGCACTTGGCAAAATGCCGTTTTTGGCGTAAGCCTTCAATCAAGCAGCACCAGTCACAAGTAAGACAAAATTGGAAACGAGAGCACATTACACGGAAGCACACTGACCATGCCCGTGCGGTCCTGGCCAGATTGACCAACTCGCGCGGATCCGATGAAGACGTTGGATGACAACGGTGCTGCGTGCCAGCGGCTCTGCTCCCCGCGCACCAGCTGCGGAACAAAAATGGGGCTTTTGTCACAGCTGCCGTGCATTGGATATTTTGCAGGCGGGCTTGGCAAGAGAGGCTTGGCACATTCTAGGCCCTCTAGGCAGGTCTGAGCCGCACAGGCAATGCCTGTAGTTTGCATTCCTGAGCCAGGTGTGACGCTGTCCAACACCTTGTTAGTGCCGGCAAAAAATGATACTCACACCTTAAGCCCAAACTCTCTACCCTAACTCCACTAATACATACAAGTAGGCTGGGGGTAGACGTCGGATGCTGGGTCGTCATGGTCATGCCGCCTCCGGATCCCCCGAGGAAAGTTGTATTGTTAATGGGTTAAGCGTCTACATTCTGCCCTGAAACTCAAAGCCCTAGACCGTAGACTGTCATAGAAAAACCCCTAATTGGAAGCTTGTTAGCAACCCTTGTCGAGCCCGAAAATAAGGACTGGATCATTGCCTCGGACATCCTCGAGGCCAAGGTGGCCGGCTCAGGGTTCGTATCGGCCTGTAAGAAAAGTATAGGGCTTAGGGCTTAGGGGTTTAGGATTCTGTAGGGTTTCGGGTTCAGTAGTTTCCCCACAACAAGAACGCCCTCATGAAGGCCCCCTGAACCCCTTACTACACTTCAGGGAGCCCTGAGCCCAGGGCTTGAGGCCTTGAGTTGAGCCCTTACACAGCTTCGCCTACTTAGGCAAGTGAGCCATGCAATCCCAGCCAGGATCAACACTCCTCTTTGCTTCACAGTCTCCGAAAGCTTTTGACGCTTGGACACCTTCACGATTCAAGGGCCGTAGGGTTCGGCCTCATTTGACTTGAGGCGTAAGGGTCCGTTGTTAGGAATGCCAAGATTTTTCAGGTTTTTCGAAAGGGGATAGAATGTAGGGTTCGAGGATCAGGGCTTTTAAAAATGCAGGGACTCCAGGAATGCCAGTGACCTGACTAGTGCTGCGGGGCTCCTTGGTAGTTCTGTAGTTGTTTCCATGCTCGTTATGCATTTGTTGGTCAAAGGTTGACCATATTACAAGATGTTTTGATTGATGTTCTAAGGGGCTCACTGTTATCCTCAGCCTTTTCGGAAAGAGCATAGCAAGACGAGGAAACCCAACGGTGGTGTCGTCGTCGTGGGCTCCGGCGCAGCTTTCGATGCCTTCACATCGGTGGCCGGCGGTATCTTTGCTCGTGTGCGCGTGGCGAGGCAGAGGAGGGAATTTTTGAATTATTGTTTCATGCAGATCCTTGATTAGCAAACCCTACCTACCTACATCAGGATTGTATTATGTATTCTGATATCATGGCCCTTGCAGAAACCGGGTTGTTAAGCTAACTAATAAGGGATATGCATTTGGTTGCAGGGGGACTTGGGTCTTAACACAGCCGGTCGAGATGCAGGGTTGCTGGCATTGATCATAGAGAGGATCTACAGGGGCTGTAACGTTTGTTAATATTACAGCTGGTTCGGATTTTGAACCGGGTGTCGGAGCACCAGGAGACTATGTGTGGGTCCCTTCGTGTTGTGAAACTTCCATGCATAGGCGCTCCTCTGAATTTCAAGCATTCCGCCATCTGGGGTTCATGACTCATACGCACAATCATGTCGTTGCCCAATCCTAATTTTTGAGGCCATAACTCAAAAAAAGAAGCCATATCTCCTATGCCATTGCGTTGGCGTTCATTCCGGCTGTGGCGGTATGCAAATGTCTCAAACCGCAGGGCTCAGAATCCCCCTCCAGAAAACCCCGACATCCGACACCAAGGGATTGAGAGATGCTTATCCTTGAGAAAGGGTGGGTCCAAGAGGAGCAATCTACGTAACTGTTTGGCAGCGGTCAGATCTCTTGTGCCTTACCCTACATATGGCCCTTGGCGCAGGGACTACAACGACAGGGTCAACAAGTTCCTGCATTTCGACCTGCAAGGAATGTAGAGGTTGAGCAGTTTGTAACGGTATGCCGGTATCTCTTTGCAGTTCCTGCGAAATATTAATATAATCCCACATACTTTTCGGTGTATTCATAGCCCGACATCCCTTTACAAACGAAGCATCACTTAATGTTCTCCTTCGGTTTTCCAAGACATAGCTTAATCCAGTGGCGTTTGGCTCTCCCAGTGCACTTGCATGTCCAAAACACGAGAGCAGCGAGCACTACATCCTAGAATGTTGTGCCTTCAGCCGGGGATGACGCCGGCGAGCCCAAAATACCGAGCCCTGACACCTCATGCCTTACATGTATCTCTCGGGAGCCTAAATCCGAAACCTGTAACCCCATCCCAGCCCCAGCCCCCAAGAGGAAGCCAAGGTTCAACTACTGAGACCCCACGCACAATTCCTGGCAAATCGTCAACTCACGGCCACGCCTAGGGCCTTCCTGGTAGCGCAGAAAGTTTTCGCCGGAAGCACGCCTCAAATGCATGGAACCCGCCGGTTAACTCATATCTCAACCCTGCACCCCTCTTTACCCTTGTTTCTGCGACAAATCAACATTCCGCTAAACCAACACTAAACCTCCCCCCCAAAAAAGCAAGACCCCAAGCCCAATAAGCCTTCAAGCCCTTAGAAGTAACCTTAAACCCCTAAACCCTAAACCCTAAACCCTAAACCCCAAACTCTCACCAACTAGGGAACCAGCGATCAGAGGCCTCTGGCCTCGCGACCCAAGTTGGCCGTTCTGCGGCGGCCACCTGCGGCGCAGGCCAAGCACAAGGCACGGGGGGGCTGTTCTAATTCTGCTCATTCATCTTCATCTCTATATCAAAAATCAAAAAAACGTATATATACATTTACATATAATATATATATATATGTATATGTAGTACATTTGCATATATATATATATATCACAGTGTCACAAGTTGCATACATATGTATGTATGTATGTATGTATGTATGTATGTATGTATGTATGTATGTATGTATGTATATACATATATTTATATTTATCTATTTACATGTATATATAGAGGATTGGGAGCGGGTGTTTGTATGTGTGTGTGTACAAACACCTACATATAGAAAACACAGAGGGAGCGAGAGCATTGCAAAGGCTCATCAGGAGAAGTCGGATGCTGATATTCCGGAGCGCAGGGCGTTCGGGTTTGTGGTTTTAGAACCCGCTATTCTGCGCACTTGGGCTTTCTGGTGGCAGAGGTTGGAAGCGGCCGCTTGATAACAACTGTATCATATCTCCAAACCCTATAAGCCCTAAACCCCTAAACCCTAAACCCTAAACCCCTAAACCCTAAACCCCTAAACCCCCAAAAAGAGCAGGGCACATGGCACCAGAGCCTATGCAAGCCTGAACCCCTCGCGGCCATCGCCCTCGAAGGCATCGAAAGCCAGACGCCCCTTTGAGCGCGAGGCTGCCTAGCGCATGGCAAGAAGTTCTCCGTTTCCACGGTTTCTACTGTACCTTAAGAACCCAAAACCTACTTGTTTGTAGGTTCTTACTATAAACCCTAATATGGGATTTAGAGGGACCCTGCGAAAACGTAGGTTTTGGGTTCTTAAGGTATAGAGGTGTGTCATGTGCCCGACAATTAAGTCGCGATTCTACAATAAAACTGAGACCCCACATTGCCAACCCAGACTTGCATTACCCAACCATTAATGCCCCAGAACCTTCGTGGCACCTTTGCAGAAATCCTAGAGTCAGGCCCTATCATATGCAAACCAGGGATTAGGGTTTAGGGTTTAGGGATTAGGGTTTAGGGTCAGGCAAACTTCGAACCTGCTTCTGAAGCCACGTTGCAAGGCTGCCGGCGCTGTGAAAAGTGTCTCAAAGCCAGCACCCGGGGAGGCGGAGCAGGAGGAGAGTTTCGGGGGGCGTAAGAAAGGGCCCTGAGTAATTACCCATACTGTTTTGGGGTTCCTTATTATAATCAGGGTATATTATACCCCAAAACCCTATTCTATAATTATGAAGGCCCCTACATTAACGGGTTTAGGATTCGACGTTTGGGAGTTTACTGGTTTACGGCTCGGGGCGAAGCGATTTAATGAGCTGTTCTTCCCTTCTCGGTAGCTTGAAGTGTGTCAAGGAGTCACAAGGGCAATCGTCGGCATCTACAATAGCTTCCGCGAGGAACAGGAGTCAATGTAGGCTGCCTCCATAAATTTCCTGGGCAAAGAACGGCTTGTCCTTTGCTTCAATGAGCTCTCAGGAATGTGTCGCATTTTTAACCAACAGACTTGGAAGCCGTCCCCATTAAATCGGCCCCGTGCAACATGGAACGCCTTAGCTCTGCGGTGCCCTATAGAGCAAGACCCCCCAGAGTACGTGCGTACTGCCAGCCATCGGCAAGACCGTCTACTGGTACCAAGAAGCCGATCATCACGTCGTCATTCCGGCAGAGAGCGCTGTTGAATCACATCGTGTTGTTGCGTGTAGGAGGACGAAGGCGACCCGGACCTCGAGGAGATGGGACAAGTTCCGGGGAGCCCATTTGAGAAGTGGGTTTGGAGTTCAGGCTTTAGTGCATTTTAGGGTTTAGGGTTCAGGGGTTTAAGGTTTAGGGTTAAACCCTAAACCCTAAACCCTAAACCTTTTTGCACCCTGAGCTGCCGCGATATCGGAGGACGAGGACGTTGAGGATGCAGACGAGGACCAGCCGGATGAAGGCGAGGAGGCGGAGGACGAGGACGAGGCCCAGCAGGATTGATGGTAAAAATGTCGTATGGGGGTTTAGGGGTTTAGGGGTTTAGGGTTTAGGGTAATGTGGGGGCCATAATAATTCTAATAGGGGTTTTGGGGGGTTCGGCTTCTCATGCTCGCTGGGCACCCAAGTTGGGTCCCCATGCTGCACACCATATGACAATCACGCTAACTCTTTGTAACCACAACGTCCAGACTCCTATAAGTTCCTGTGTCCCTGCGGCTCCTTCAAGTACAGGGGCTGATCCAAGCTCATCGTAAATCTCAAGCCTGAAACCACCGCAGGTGGTTTGCAGAATATGGTACGGGATCCCCAACCATTAGTAACTAGTACAAACAGTACGGGCAAACCCTTACCCTTCTTTAATCCTATGGAGTTCTGATTATGCAATAAGATGCCCGAGCCGTTTCGAACATTCGGAGCCCTCTGCCCCCAAGAACGACACACCTAAAATGCCCTGAGGCCCGCAATCCCTTCTTGAAGAGAGATTTGGGGCTTTGAGTTTGGGGTCTTGTCAGGCTAATGTTGGCAACGACGGAGCTTTGTGGACCTACTGTTAAGACAGGCAGCCCGAAACCCTGAGCCCGCCTAGTGCTGTTTGTGTCTTGTGTCATGATATTGGAACCCCCTGCTTAATAGCTTAAAATCTTAACCATAACGGTTAAGGCCGTACATCCCAAGCTCTTATCCCTGAACCTGACGCCTAAACTTCAAGCCTGGATACCCATGCCAAAAAACCATAAAACCCTTAGCTTTTAGAGACCCAAGTATTGTAGAGCTACCATGAAGCTCCAAGTTTCTGAACCCCAAACCCTAAACGCTAAACCGTTTTGATGAGGACTGCGTCGCAGAGGCCCAGGAAGAGCTGGCAGCCACCGATGCGGACAGCGCGGAAGACGACTGCGAGGTCGGGATCTTTAGGGTTATGGTATGGCTATATTATATAGGGGGGCTCAGGGTTTAGGGTTTTAGGCCTTAGGGTTATGGTATGGTTACATTATATAGTGGGGCTCAGGGTTTAGGGTTTTGAGTTTAGGGTGCTCAGGGTTTGGGTATGAACCACTGCCACTGTTCCTTCCTTTTCCCAAACAGATGTTGGGCGTGTTTGGGGCTCGGGAGCATTCGGGTTACGTCGTGTTTGCAGGTCGTTGACTTCAGGATTGCATGTTAGGTCCGGGCTCGGGGTTCGGGTGGCATTTTACCACAGAGTTTAGACTTCCTTCTGCTTTAGGGCATTCTAGACAGGGTTACCTTTAGATTTGGGGATCTGTGTCGTGGGCATGGGAGTTGGGTTATCTCTATAGGGTTAATTGAGCATGAGGACTAGGCTGGGTACTGGGTTGATGGCTTCACGTCTTCGAGTGGGCTTGCGATCTTGATTATGGGATGATTGGTACTGAGCCTACCTCCTTATTTGTGATGCGCGCGCCTTGTTCTTAACAAGTACGACGCAATCATCATCGCGATCTGCTATCTGTTGATCCGAAAGATCGAAAGCTGGTTCACCATAGTTTTATGGTCTACACCCAATGCCCTTCAACGCAAAATAGTATCACACCTCTGTTCAAGCTTCGTGGATGATCTTGCAACCTAAACCCCAGATATCTCTGCGGTTCTGAAGGAGGTTATCGCCATCCTCGATCAAAGTGTCCGCATCATGCACGAGGAGTCTTTGATTACCCCAAACCCCACAAGACCCAAAGTGTTCAGCGGTCAGGATTTGAGGTTGTCTAAGAAGGGGATTCTTGTAGATTAGTCTAGGATGCCCCTTGCGAGGTTTAGCCTGTGAAGCGATAAGACGTGAAACGCGATGACATTTGAATGTATGTCACATGAGTACTACGGCTAGTCGTAGCTACTAGAACTATTGATACTGCTAACTTTAGCGGCACTGCTTGCCAGTACTGCTAGTAAGACTAGTCCTGTTCGTACTGCTATTACTCCAACGGCTAAAGCCACTCTCACCTCTGCTGTTACGGTCTACAGCTCCTGCTGCTACCACTCCTACTGCTCTTGCTACTGCTCCTGCTATGTGCAACTGAAGCTTGGAGACTTGCTACATACAACCTCCAGAATTCGAGGCAAATTGAATGTCCGCAAACGATAACTGTTGGTTCGACAGAGGTGCATTGTGAAGGAAACGAGCCATCTGTTACTCGTGCCAGCTAGTAAGTAGCAGGTCTTGGTAACCTGCTCGTACGACCTATGGACATCTTGGGATACGTAATTGTATTGGGGTTGCAATTTGCTGCAAGCCACCAACAAACCAGGCCAGTGCCCCGCACCTGTCATACGTCATAATCCTTGATACCTTGTAAAACGATACGGAGTCAAAAACGATAACCCAGTTTGGGGATAAGGGCTTCCTACCGAGGTTTTTATAAAGCCGCATGCGTGGTTTCGGATTTTGGGTGTAGTGTAGGGGCCTGAAGAACTAGTAATCATTGGTAGCCACCAGATCGAAACCGTCGTCTACAGTAACCACTCGGACTTTTTACTTATCTACTCTGTTTGGGTCACATGTTAACCTGAAGCTGTACAGCGTGTGGGTCTTGAGGGCTGCAGCTGCGGGGATATCGCGTGGCTCCGCCGAAAATGGGAAAGGTGTAACGGTTGCACGCTTGAAACCCTGAAGACCCTGCAAGCAATACAGCGCTTTCTTAAATGAACACCTGCAGCTCGAGAACACTGTAGACCCTGTGAGTCCTGAGCCCTAAACCCTTTTGGGAATCGAGAAGGAGTGGCGATTTTTCCGCATCGGTTCTTATCATCCTCCTGGAGTTCATAGGCTAAGAATACCATGACCCTAAACCCTAAACCCTAAACCCTAAACCCTAAACCCTAAACCCTATCCTAAATCCTAAGCCGAGATCCTAACTCCGAAGCCCCGAAGCCCCCATCCTCGACCCTGGTACCTTTCTGGGAGCTGCCGGAAGGATAAAGCTGCCAAAGCAGAAGCCCAGAAGAAGGCCGGGCTTGGCTTTAGGTTTCCAGAAGTGCTTGGAGTTGGTGTAGGGTTTAGGGTTTCGGGTTTAGGGCTTAGGGTTTAGGGTTTAGGGTTTAGGGTTTAGGGATTAGGGTTTAGGGTTCAGGGATTAGGGGATAGAGAGTTCAGCTAGACCAGAAGTATCGGAAAGACGCCCATGTCCTCATCTCCTGTCCCTCTTTCATCAAGGATCCCTACTACTAAAACTTAAGGCATGGCTTCAACAAAGGGGTTTTGGAGTTTTTGAATCGGGTATGGGTCCTGCGTTTTTGAGTTTACAGGTTGGGATTGAGGCTTTTAGTTTTGAGACGAAACCCTAAACTCAAGCCTAAGTCTGAGCACTCGAATCTCCAATGACTCCTTCCTTTTCATAAAGCTGCCGACTCAAGCGTTGAGGTCACTAAACCCACAGCCCCCAGCCTTCGAGCCTTTCGTCTCTCCCGATCTCCCATTCCAAGACACGGTTTCCGTCAAACCCTGAACCCTAAACCACATTATGCAAACACGAACACACACACACACACACACACACACGACAGCTCTCTTTGCTCACCCAAGCACCCTGAGCCGAGACCTCAACCCGACACCTCAAACCCCAAATCCCAACACCAAAAAAAACTTAGCCCTACTTAGCCCCGTTAAACTTTCACATTCATTAGAGCCAGTGAATCTCCGAAGAACTCAGAACCAACGACGTCCAAGCTGGCAGGCCGCGGGCGCTCCGTGGCAACCACCATGTCCTCCAGGAACGGAGGGGGGTTGTGATGATCTTTGACAACAGCTAATGTAGGGGCCTAAGTAATTTCCAAGAGTATTTCTTTTTTTTATGGGGGGGGGGGGTGGGTTCCTTGTTATAGTTAGAGTATAATGGGCCCCAAAACCCCGTTCTAATTATTAAGGCCCTTATATTATACTTAAAAACAATAGAGAAGAAGGTTAACCATGCGAATAGAACTACCCCAAACCCCTAAACCCTAAACCTTAAACCAACATTTTGCATCCCATGATCTGAGGCCTCTGGGTTGCCGCCCTGTGGTGGAAGTTTAGGGTTTTAGGGGTTTAGGGCCTTAGCGGTTTAGGGTTTAGGAGTTTAGGGTTTAGGGTTTAGGGGTTTAGGATTTAGGGTTTAGGGGTTTAGGGTTTAAGGGTCAAGGAGTTTAGGGTTTAGCGGTTTAGGGTTCAGGATGTTGGCCCTTTCGGTTGAAGCCTGGGCTTTCGGTCCAGGCTTTTAGGGATCATCTTGGAAGTTTGAGGTTTTTTCCCAAGCCCTGAAGCCCTGATAAACCTCGAAGTTTAACACCAAAACCCTCAAAACTTACACGGTTTAGGGTTTAGGGTAGGCCTTTGGGCCGAAGTTTGGGGAGGTTGTTTTGGAGTGGAGGGCCTTGGGCTTGGGGGGCCATGGGCTGAATGAGTCTGATATGCTACTGTGCTTTGAGTAGGGTTGAGAGTTTAGGGAGTAGGTTTTCCGGTTTAGGGCTTAGAGGGTATAACGTTTGTAAGGATTTCCTGTACCCAGAAACCATCATGCATAATACATGGCTGTGCTGGAGTGCTAGAATCCTTTTCGGAAGGGGCAATGCTCTGGCGGAACATCGGCGACAGCAACTGTTCTGCCGACCATAGCGGGTCGAGTGTTCGTGTGACATCTCCTGAGATCCGCGGACATGGCATTGAGCTGGGCTCGTGCTAATTTCTACGTAAGTTAAGTTATCATAACTTCAATCTATAGTCAATAATATGGTGTCCCTAAAGATGGTAGTTTCAACCACCAAATTCCTGAACGAAAACCCAGTCAGTTGCTTAACGGCCCACTTCATGGTGGGCTGCCATCTCAGCTCCTCAGTTGGCTTTCTCCCCTACGGTATCCTCTTATAGCAGCTATGTAATCAACAAGAATGCAATATACTATTGTTAATTCTAGTAACGTACCCCCAAAACCCTCTTCTAACTATTACTCTATACTGCCCTTTGAGACGAGACACTCGAATGCGTCGCATGCTCAGTTCCATGATGGAGCTCCACGAAAGCCTCGTGAACAAATCCTATAAGGCCTAAACACCACCAGGACCGTCCTGGTACGCATTTGGTATAGAATATAGAGGCCTGGAAATTCAGCGGTAGTATCACCTTCTAAGTCTAGTCCCTACAGACCAAGTTCAGAGTACACTGTGAACCCTAAACCCTCAACCCCTAAACCCTAAGCCCCAAAACCCGAAATTGCAGAACCCTACAGGCTCCTACGTTGGATGTGCCTTCTCGGCAGGACAACTTCGGAGGAGGATCTTGGCACAGCGAGGAAGGCGAGCTTGAGCAGCACGGGTTAGGGGGGCCTGAGGGCTTCGGGGTTCGGAGAGACTCCCCAAACCCCTTAGTTAAGGAAGATGCCTGAAATTTTAATCGGAGCCCTAAACCCTAAACTCTAAACTCTAAACCCTAAACCCTAAACCCTGGTTTTGGAGTGTCTGGGTTTCAGGTGCATGAAAGGCTTCGGGGTTTCGCGTTAGGAGGGCCTGTGAAGAGGGCTGTCGGCTATAGGCTTCGGCATTTCGGGGGCGTTTGGGGTTTACTATAGGAGCCCAAATACTTACCAACACTATCTTTTGGGGGGTTCCATTTCATTAACGATATGTATGCTATAAAGGACCCCCCCAAAACCCCGATTCGAAGTCTTAAGGCCCCTACATTACTGTTGAGGCTCTGGGGTGCATGGTGCAGGCCGTGGAGTTTGGGGGTGTGGGGTTGAAGGTTTCATTCCCAGAGGGTTTACATATACTACCATTATGGAATTAGGGTTTAGGGTTTAGGGTTTAGGGTTTAGGGTCCACATATACTACCATTATGGAATTAGGTCCCAAAAGACCATCCTTATTATGGTTTTGGGGACCTAATTCCATAATGGCAGTATATGTGGACCCTCTGGGATTGGGGTTTCGGGATTGGGGGCCTGCCGGGTTCAGAGTGCATCGCGATGATCAAGCAAAGGGAAATAACCATTGAAGCTTTCGGGTCTAGATCCTTGAAGACTTCAGGGGTAGTTATAAGTAGGGTTATAAGTAGGGTAACTATAATTATAGCCTATATTAGAGGACTTATAACTCCACTTATAACTACCCATGAACCTCCAAGTACTTGAAGACTTCAGTGTGATTATCAGGAAATTAGCTACGGTTCTAATCGCTTCTCCCTCTGCTTGATATCCTACTGACGGTTCGGCAAATTGTGCAGTGCTTGCTAGCGGCCAGTGCGAGTGCAGCGCATGCCCTTCACCCTGTAATACAGGGGCCAGAAGCGGCTAGAATACAATTACGAACACTTTTCCTCACAGGGCTCTTTCATACAGCTTTATAGTATAATACATGACTCCAAAGCCCTGGTCTGAATCCTGAGGCCCCAATAAATATGTTGCAGCCCCGGACTTGCTCTCAGAAGGAAGCTGCCGTAGTACCGAGACCAGGCACCGCGCTGCTCGGCGCTCGCCGGAGGAGGCTGTGACGCTGAAACACACAGCTTCAGATGTTCGTCAAATCACTATTGGTCCACATGGCGACTGCATAGGCCAAGCCCCAGCCAAACGTAGGTGTCTACAGGTGACTGGATTGGCTGTTCGTTAATTGCAGGGTGGTTTCTGAGACGGCCGTGGATCTCCGAATCAGAAAGTGGGGCGGTGACCTAATGGTAAGCCTGATGGTTGTAATTCCTCATAATAATAAATAACCCTCTAATTGTCAGCCTCATACTAGTGACCCGTATGGTACCTTAATTGTGAGATGGAATGGACATGGCTTGGTGCCTTGTTCAGGGATGAAGGGAGAACGCTGCTCAAGATAGTCGCAGGCAGGCGCAATGAAATCACGGGTAGAACCAATACCATGGTGTCCGAGCACGCCCACGCCAAAACCCGCAATTCTAAAGCTAATTATTAAACCCTCAAACCCTGAACCCGCAACCCCTTAGATCTGCAAACCCTAAACCCCTAAACCCCAAACGCCCTAAACCCCTAAACCCCTAAACCCCAAAAAGCCTCCGAAAGCCTTGGCAGAGGCCGCCACACCCAGGACCGAGCCTGGGATGGGGAGTGGCTCTAGCCGTGGGATCCTCGGGGGGCTCGATCGGGTTTAGGGTTCAGGGGTTTAGGGGTTTAGGGATTTTGGGTTCAGGG